AGCAGTAAAATCCATAATAAGCTTCAAAAAATATTAAGAAATGAACAGCAGTGAAGGAGCTAAGTTTCAGTCATGTGGTCTCAACCTTAGAACTACTGCTCTGAAAGCAGTATTTTTACCATAAATCAAAAATTGAAAATGTACCCAACTTATGAACACTGTTTCACTGTGTAACCTCACGATCAGCAGCTAAGCAGGAGCTGAAGATACCGATACTGCCCAGGGCTTTACAGTTCAAATATAATTTTGTGTTCCAAATTCACATGGACAATGAAATTCCCAAACCATAAGTTAATAGTACTAAGTGGGTAGTTTGGTACATAGGCCTAGTAAGAAGACTACAGAGGCCATTAGGAGTGTTCTCTCAAAGTTAAATCTCATACAAAGTAGGTTATAAAATCCCACGTTAGCCCAGTGCTCTGTTTCCTGGTTGGTCATGCATCCTTCTCTCTCTGTCACACACACACACTTCCTATCTCTTGCTCTATCATGCTTTGAAATCTTCCAGCAAGGACACCATCACCAGAGTCCACCTATTCTTATATGTGAACCTCAAAAACTCTAAGACAAAAATATATCCTTTTCCTTGCTAAAATTAGGCTCTTTCATGCATTGTTACAGAAAAAAAAAGTACTAGAACATCCAGCCTCCCCAGAGAACATCATTTCCTATCCACATATCTGTAACACTGAAAGGTCAAAATTCAAAATCTGAGAGATTTTCTACTAATATTTATGCTCTTCCTTTACTTGTGTAACTACATGTTTCTGACCTATAATCGGTTAAGAGTTCACACAAGGCAGGTCTACTGGTGGTAAATTCCTTCAATTTTTGTTTTTCTGAGAATGTGTTTTTCTTTCATTTAGAACACTTTCAATGGATAGAGTTTTAGGCTAGTGTTTTTCAACATTCTGAATACCTTATTCTGCTCTCTTTAGAAATTATCCAAACAAGAAAAGAAGCCAGATTCTCTTCTCTAGGTCAGGCAGGGATTTTTCTTTTTTTTTTTTTTTTCTATTTTGTTTACAATTTCAGTAACACGCTTGAGTGCAGATGTTTCTGCTATTTACCCTGCTTGGTATTACCTCACCTTCCCAGTTCTTGCAAATTCTCAGCCACTATCACTCCAAATATTTCTTCTGTTTTACTCTTTCTGATTCTTTTGGCAGCCTCATGCATTTTCGCATCTTTTGGAATGTCTCCAATATTCTTGGATACAAAATGTGTGTGTGTGATTAAAACTTGTCTTACTCCTCATTTGGGAAAGATTTTCATATACAGAATTTGCACTGTTTCCTCTTCTGCACTCAATAACAATTAGCTTTCTGTTCCTTCAAGTTTCACAGTAGACTTCTGGAAGTTCATGAGGGAGGTGGGACCATGTGGGTCACTCACAAAACAGAAGACACACCTGGAGGGGTCTGAGGAGGCTAAGTACAGAGCCCATTGAAAGTACATTTTTGTGTCCGACGCAGAAGCCTTGAGGCTAAAGTCCTTGGCTTGCATGCCCTAGGATCCCATATGGGTGCCAATTCAAGATGCCACTGGCATGCTTATCATCCAGCTGCCTGTTTGTAACCTGGGAGGGCTGTCGGGACCGCCCAAGGCCTTGGGACCCCACGTCTGCATGGGAGACCTAGAAGTAGCTTGTGGTTTCACATCAGCTCAGCCCTGGCCATTGTGGCCACCTGGGGAGTAAGTCAGTGGATGGTAGATCTTTCTCTCCTTGTCTCTCTAAATCTGCCTTTCCAGTAAAAATAACTAAGTCTTTTAAAAAGAAAAATGAATGTTGGGAACGATTTTTTGAGATTTAAAAAAAAATCTTTAAACTTAAGAATAGAGAAATCCCAAAGAAAAAGCAAAGGGGTACAAAATGTTTAAAATACAATACAAATAACATTAAACAAAACCAAGTTGTTTCTTGAAAAAAATTTTAAATGGCAGATTCCATAACAAAAATAACTAAGGAAAAAAGAAAAAGCAGGTAACAGTATAAACGGGAAAGGAAACAAAATGAAAATACTATGAAAAATTTAGGTCACTAATTTGTCAAATTAGATGAAATAGTTTCCACCAAAACCATGAGTGAATAAAATTAATTCAAGAAAAAAAACACCATTAAAAAAAAGAAAATGAATGATTAAAAACAATTATCCTCCACACTCACTCACTCCCCAAAAGGCCACAAACCAAGACAGTGATAAAGGCAAATTCTACTAGATCTTGAAAGAGCAGTAATCCCTTATTTATTCAACTCTTCCAGAAAATAGTCAACTTTTATGGATAATACATAATTCAGAATACAGAATCTCATTAAGACAATCTGGCAAAAGAAAATTAAAAGGTAATAAAGACAAGAATTCTAAATTTTAAAAAAAATGAAATGAATCAGCATGATCAAGTAAAATTTACATTAGAAATTCAGGTAGCTTAATATTAGAAAAATTAAATTACAAAAATAACAGAAAAATAAGTGACCTCAGTTGATGCAGAAAATACACTGTGAAAAATTCTGCATCATTCTGAAAAAAATCTTAGAAACCAGAAAAATAATATCCTTCATCTTACAAACAATACTTAACTTTCAGCAACCCCAGCAAGCTACATAAAATTAAAAAGATGCTCAGTCTCACCCTTGGTAAGCTGTAGTACTGATTTCATGCTTGCAGTTATGTACCATTCCTTTCCTGTGAAAGGGCCATACTTTCCTACCATTTGTTACCTGCCTTGAAAGTGCAACTTGCTAGCCAATAGAATATACAATTAAAGTGTTATACACCACTTCTAAGGTAAGATTCAAGGACCAATGTTTGGTGTTCCCTTTACTTCCCCACCTGCATTACGAGACCAGCATGCCTAAACAGGGACTAATCCTTCAGTCTTGGTCCAAAAACAAAGATGGCAATGCAACGAAGCCAGAGCCAAACCATCAGTCATAGGTAATAAGAGGTAACTTGCTATAAATCAAGACAATTTGGAGGTTGGCAGGTGCTGCTCCATAATCAAGTGAAAATTAACAGTACTCAAACAAATACAAATGAAAATAATGTATTTGAGATACCCACATAAACGAAATCAATCAAAACAAGGTGGTAAAATTAAACTTAGTGCTTCCCGGCTGTAATTTAAATTAGTATGGTTAATACGGAAATATCTGGAAAAAGCAATGAAAGAAAATTACACCCATCAATTTAGCAGTTCCACTACCAGGCATCTTCCTTAAAGAAACCTCAACAACAAAACATTGACCGTAATATTCACTGAAGAGCTACTTGTTACTTCCTATTATGAAACTTTAGAGAAATGGACAAAATGATTTAGGCATTCAAAGAAATAACAAATTAAGTCGATAAAATAACAAGCAAATAAAGATGGGAATGATAATTTAGTATTGTCTTTAATAGTTTTAAACAAGCCTAATACAAATGGCGAAATGGTAATATCTGGTTGAAGATTTTTAAAAACCATTTCACTTATTATTTATTTACTTTTGTATTTCTGAAATAATCTCAGATATAGAAAAGTATGCAGATATAAGCCAGAAAGTAAAATGATCAACCAGGTGATTTAGTAATGTAAAAAAAGTTAGGTAAGAAATGGGCATTCTCTATCATCTAAGTAATCCCGCACATACTCTATAGATGAAGAAACTGAGGTTCAGAGAGGCTGCGTAAATCATCCCAGGTCACATAACAAGCTATCATCAAGCTGAATCTGAAATAGTTCCCCAACTTCTATCACTAGGAAAGACAAGAGAAATCTGGTCTAATACAATGCAACTGAGACAAATTCAGAAAACAAACTCTGATATTTTCTAATCGGGTCCTACCCTGCCCCTGAGACAGTCCGTTTCCCTTCCTCTACGTACCACACCCTTCATCCCCCAAGAATAGGAAGTGAATCTTGAAAAAGAACAAAGAGGAAAAGAAAGGACTAGCACCACTATAATCAATGTCTCTCTCCAAAATACATGCTGAAGCAGCAAGCAGGTGCCATCCTGGAAATCAAGATGAGTCCCCCACGAGACCTGAAGTCAGCTGGCACCATGATCTTAAAGCTCCCTTTCTCCAGAAGAGTAAACAATAAATTTACAATGCTCATAACATCATATAATCAAAGGTATTCTGTTACAGCAACAACTCTCTTTCACTACTGCTTTTCTTTAAGTTGAATATTAGAACTATTACAGTTGAAGTGAATAAAACAAAGTATGTGACCACATTTAAAATGAGTAAAACAGGTCTCAAATGTAGGACACAAAACAATTCTACGCTTAGGTTTATGCTTTCTAGAGCCAAAAGGCGAAAGCTGGAGTTCTGACTTACCCACTAACCAGCTAGGAAACCTTGGCAAGTCTTTTATTCCTTACTATAAACTGGGAATACCAAGTTACATACTATTGAAAAGACTCAGAATCATTTAATGAGATAATCCTTGTAAACATTATATATTATTTATGGTGTAGAAATAAAATAATTTAGCTGTCAAAAACAACCTGTTTTCTGACTTAAAATTAAAAGGTACTGAAAACTTAAAAGTATCAACTTCGGTGCTAATAATTTATGTTTTGAAAATTTTATGGGTACTTTTTACTTAAACATTTTTAATTAACTTTATTTAAATAAATTAGCTGGATAATCATTATTTGTCTCATGCTAAAAACTTTTGCAGCTAAGCTTACTATGGAAATATCAGTGTCCTAAAATATCAACCCAGTGCTACCACTTCTCCTCAAGTAAAATGTCTTATATCCAGAGGGAGTATTAAGACATTTAAGGCTCATCCAGAATACACACCCGTAAATGCACATAAGCAATACAGACCGGCTGAACATCGTTGTAATAGAAATTATGAACCTCCAATGCCAAAGTGTAACCACCTGAATTACAGGAACTTATCGAAGCACAACAATACAATCACTGTGCCGCACCACAAAGGCAGATGACACTTTGCCTTCATTCCACACATCAGGACAGGTGTTCCTCAGGCCCCTGACTCACCTCCAGGTCACAGCAGTACTCAGTACCATCCAGAAGGATCACTTTACACGGCACCGTTTTGGTCTTCTTTGCAGCTTTTTGCGAGGTCTTCTCCGACTTTAGCTCATTGGTCTGCACTTCCTTTGTCTCCCTTTTTGCTGCTTCTTCTGTTTGGTCTTCCTGAATTTCCTTTACCTTTTCCTCTTCTCTCTCCTTACTTATTTCTTCTGCAGGCTGTTTAGGGGGGTGAAATAGATGCTCACTAAAGTTAATCATTTTCTAGAAGACAGTATACTTTTTCTAGAAGATAATACATTAAAAACAAACCCTTGCCATCTTGGTGTGAGGTGCCCAGGCGAGTTCAACCTTGGGGCTTGGGTGCAGGGAGCTCCAAGCAGCCTGGCGGCTACTGGAAAAACCTGATCTGGTCGGGCTCAATGCTGGGGGCCCTAACCCCAGCCACCACTGCCAAGACGGCGGCAAAATCCTGGGCTTATCTAGGCCCAAGAGATTCCTCCCTCTACAGTAATTACACTGTGAAGGGATCTCAGGCAGCTCTGAGCAGGCAGGGGTCCCTGGCTCCGCCTACCACCGCCATCTTGGTAGGAGATGCCAAGGTGAGTTCGACCTCCAGACTTTGATGCCCAGACCTCCCGACCAGAGCCAGGCAGCCCGAGGGCCACCCAGCAATGCACTCTGGGATCTTGGGAGTGCGAGTTTACCAGGAGTTTGAGAGATGGCACATGTGAGCATTAACAAGGACCTTAGGGTCAGGTACAGGTGAGGAATGATTTCTGAGAGACTTCCATGGACAAGGTCACTCTATTTGAAGGACTATAACATGGAACTGACCAGAGTGTCAAAAAAGGGAACAGGTCTGTGAGCCTGGGCCATAAGCTGACTAATACGTGAATGAATAAGGTCTGGTGATAGAATCTGTAGAATATGTGGGCTCACCCATGCGGAACAGCAATTTGCATTGGTATACACAAGAACTGTGGCTGGCATTAGGCCTGGTTAGGGAGCTAAGGGGACACCCCAACTGGACTGGAATACCCATCGGTATAGCAAGTGCCAGAATCGGTATCATGTCCTGGGCTGAACAAGGCTGCAGTCTCCCTTGGCATAGGTGGGACCTGGGTCTGTGGAGGGCCAGACTGGGCTAGATCCCAGCATCCACTGGTACTTGTGAGAGTCAGAGTAGGTGTAGAATGGGCTAAGGTATGTACTGACTCCCACTGAATCATGTGAGACCTGTCTGAGTACAGATCAGGTGTGGATGGGCTGTAACACTCAACAGTAAGAACCGGTGAGGATATGGGCCAACTGGACAAGGACACCATTCTTGCCAGAACAAGTGGACAAAGTCAACCTGGGCCAGGGACCCACTGAAATGTGCAAGATCTGCCACTGGGAGGAGACTGGATAGCGGAGTTTGGTGAAGTCTTTTGTCAGGTAGAAGTCCCTGCAGGTTAGTGCAAGAACCAAGGCAAGGAGCAGGCCCAAACCAGACAAGGTTACAGTACCTGCCAGCATACACGTGGATCAGTCAGGGGGTTGGCCAGGTCAGGCCAGTTCATAACATCCACTTGCAAATCCGAGAACCAAAATAGGGTACGGGAGGGGGGACAAGTCGGGCTGCATCTCCAGCCAGTTCACACTCCAGCTGGGCCAGGGGTCTGCATGGGAAATGCTAGGTTGCAGCACCAACCAGCATAAGCTGGAACTGGGGACAGGCTGGATCAAACTAAGCTGCAGTACCCATTAGTGGATACCAAATAAGAAGAGCCGTATCAGTCTGGAGGTGGTAGGTCCTGGAACCATGAACGTAGGGGTAGAAGGTCCAGAAGGACCCGGTTTCCAGGCACAGGTTCTTGGGTCTTCTGTGTGGTAGTTATTGAACCCATGATTCCCAGTGGGCCCAAAGAGGTCTAGGTTTCCTGGCCCAGGCCACCAAGTCTACTTGTGTAGTGGGGGCCAGAATCATGAGCCCAAGGGTTAGGAGTCCAGCAGGTCCCAGACTGCAAGGCCTAGGCCTTGGACCCACCTGCACCTGGGAGCTGAACCCCTGAGCTCCAGGGGTAGGGGATCAAGCCTGGCCCTGGGTCTCCTGGCTCAGGTCCTAGAGCCCACCTTAGGTAGTCGGTGTCAGGTCCATAAGCCCCTGGGGTGGAGGATCCAGCAGGATCTAGGCCTCGTGGATACAGGGGTTGGTGCTGTATCCATTTGCCCCAGGGGTAAGGGGTCCTGAGGGGCCTGGGTCTCCAGGTCAAGGTCAACAAGCCCGACTGCATGTGGGGGCTGCATCCATGAGCCCTGGGATGGGGGGGAGGGGGTGGAATCCAACATGGCCGATGTCACCTGACTCAGTCCATGAGCCCACCTAGAGGACATCTGGTAGCACAACAGATAATGGAGAACAAAACATATGGACAACTACCTCAGCCAAACAATGACAGTAAGTATCTGGGTGACTGGAGACTATCAGGTCAATGGTGTCAGCCAATAAACATTGGAAGGGATTCCTCATCCATAGATGAGTGAGACTGACAGCATTTCAGAAGTATCACACCCACCTGGGCAGAATCTTCAGAACATGCACCATTGTGACCCTGGGCTGTAGTGGGTGGCCTTTCCCCATCTTTGGGTACTGGGATGGTTGGGAGGCTAGGTACAGTTTATCCCCTTATTTCTCCCTTCCCCCGAGAAATGGGAAGAATTAAAGCTTGGAAACAATGATCACACCTACTCCACCCAAACTCTAGATTCTTCTGACCCTGATCGACTATGTGAACACCATCTAAAATAAAATTTTTTTAATTAAAAATAAAAATAAAAAGTAAAAAGCAAACCTTTCACACCCAGCACCATGTAATAGTAGCTGAACTTCCACCTGCACTGCCATTATCCCATAGGGGTACTGGTTCAAGTCCCAGACACTCCACTTCTGATCTAGTTCCCTAATAATGGTTTAGGAAAGAAGTGGAAAATGGCCCAAGTCCTTGGGATTCTGGGCCCACATGGAAGATCCAATAGAAGCCACTGGCTCCCAGTTTGGGACCAGCCCAGCTCGGGCCACTACAGATATTTGGAGAATGAATCAGTGGATGGAAAATTCATTCTCTGTCTCTCTCTCTCTCACTCCTTGCCTTTAAAATTAAAAATAAATCTTGAAAAGAAAGAATAGAAATTGTAATCAGAAGTAGATATCTGGCCTAGCACTTGAGATGCCAGCTAGGACATCTGCATCCGAAATCAAGTGACTGAGCTGACTCTTGCTTGGGTCCAGCACCTGACTCACTCCCGGGAAGATCGCAGAAGGCAGCAGTGGGGTTCCTGACACACATGTAGTGACTGAACTGGAGCCCTAGCCATTGTGGACATTTGAAGAATGGGTCAGTAAAAAGGATCATTCACTCAGGCCCAGCGCAGTAGCCTAGTGGCTAAAGTCCTCACCTTGTACGTGCTAGGATTAATATGGGCACCAGTTTGTGCCTTGGCTGCTCCAATTCCCATCCAGCTCCCTGCTGGTGGCCTGGGAAAGCAGTCAAGGACGGCCCAAAGCCTTGGGACCCTGCACCCACGTGGGAGACCCAGAAGAATCTCCTGGTTAGTGGCTTCAGATTGGCTCAGCTGCAGCCACTGTGGCCACCTGGGGAGTGAATCATCATCAGACAGAAGATCTTCCTCTCTGTCTCTCCTCCTCTCTGTATATCTGCCTTTCCAATAAAAATAAAATAAATCTAAAAATAAAAAATTGGATCACTCATTCATCTTCAGTCCCTCACCTGCCCTTAACTCCCTTTCTCCCTGCCCCCATCTTCCTGCCTCTCATTTTAGAAATTACCTTAACCTGAAAATTCTGCCACAAAGAGTATTTTCCTTTATCTCCCTTCCAAAATTTTTTTCCTTTTTCCAAGTTGATAACTTTAAATAAGAAACTACAATCTAGTAACTAAAATTTAAATCTTTTCAGATGAAATTTCTAATTATAATCTCATTCCAGGCAAAACTTAGGCTTCATTTAGCTACCAAAATGCAGATATCAAATTTACAGTTTATTACCCACTGAACAAACGAAAGATGTGAAATACTCTGTTTAAAAGGAGGGATAGCACAAGTATGAGCAAGCAGCTTAAATAATTTGCATATACTATCCTTAAGTCTTCCTATACTTTCAAGATTTGTTTAAGAAACAGTAAAAGACTCAGGTAGACTGAACCCGGCTCCATGTTCTAGATATATTAAGTCAAATCAAAACTGCAATTCAAAAACCATCAGGAAATGATAAAAAAAAAAAAAAAAAAGGTGGGGGGGGAGTCTTTCCGTCTTACACGATTACAGCCAAAAGCTTTCCTTTCCAAATCTCTCCCAAGCATACCTGGATCTCAGCAGTGCTCACAGAAGGTTTTTCTTCCTTGACTTCAACTTTCGCTTCCTGCTGCTTCGTCTGAGCTGCCTGTTCAGCGTCACCCTTGGCCTGCCTCTCTCCTTCTGCAAGAGACTCCTCTTTATCTAAGACCTGTTCTTCCACAACAGCTTGGGTTGGCTCTTTTTTATCCCCTCCATCTTTGGCCGCTACTAAGGTGTATGACCTTTGCTTCTTTAGCCATGGGGGGATGAATCGAGAAATGCCCCTGCTCTCCGATGGGTCCTTCTCTCTCTTCTGGCGGCGAGGACTGCTTTGGCTGTCAGCGGCGGGAGATGGCTGGGAGCCTCTGTCTTCCTCTGCGTTAGAGGACTGGCTCTGCTGATTTTCTGCTGTTTCTTTAGGTTTCTCCTTGGTTGCCTCTGCTCCTAACTGGTCTGCGTCCTTCTTCACTTCTGAGGCTGCACCTACTTCAGTAGTCATGGTCACAGTTTATGCTGTAAATAAAACAAAATCGCAAAATGTTATTCTTCAAACTCTCCTGAATTTAATTTGGTGGCAAGGACAGAAAAAGGAAAGGAGAGAAGGGGACTCGCAGAGACAACCTGGGAGAAGCACAAATCAGAGTGGTTCGTAAACACAAAAGGAAACCAAGAGACCGCCACTCCAACTTCTAGAATTCTCCATCAGAATCACAGAACTCAAGGAATATCACAATGGATAACTGTAATTGATACAGCTCGACCTTAAGATCACCAAGAACACAAAAAAGAACAGCTACTTTTATGTGGTTTCAAATAGTTGCGAACAAAAACTGAACCCACCAAGTCCCATTAATGAAAGAAAGTTACTTTCTTATTTACTTGCTACTCTTTATTCTGTAATATTAAAAATATTATCAACAATGTTAGAAACAAGACATACTTCACAGAAAGCTTACACTTCAAAGACCAAATCTTTTAAAAAGCTGGCTATGATAAAAACAAATTTTAAATGTTGAGTGCTTAACTGTAAGAAAATTAAATCCAGGGGCCTGGTGCGGTAGCCTACTGGCAAAATCCTCGCCTTGAATGCACCAAGATTTCGTATAAATGCCAGTTCATGTCCCAACTGCTCTATTACCCATTCAGCTCCGTGCTTGTGGTCTGGGAAAGCAGTGAGGAGGATGATCCAAAGCCTTGGGACCCTGCAACCATGTGGGAGACAACAAGAAGCTCCTAGCATCTGGCTTCCCATTGGTTCAGCTCTGGCTATTGCGCCACTTGGGAAGTGAACCAACAGATAAAAGATCTTTCTCTATGTCTCTCCTTCTCTCTGCAAATCTTCCTTTTCCAATAAAAAGTAAAATTAAATCTTAAGAAAATTAAATTTGGAACAAAAATACACTACCTTTTATGGCAATATTAAATCTTGAAATTCACCATCACTATTCCAATGCAAAAGTTAATTTCTGGGCCTGGCGTAATAGCACAGTGGCTAAAGTCCTCGCCTTGCATGTGCCAGGATACCATATGGTTACCAGTTCTAATCCCGGCAGCCCTGCCTCCCATCCAGCTCCCTGCTTGTGGCCTGGGAAAGCAGTCGAGAACGGCCCAAAGCCTTTGTACCCTGAACTCGCGTGGCAGATTCGAAGGAAGCGCCAGGCTCCTGGATTTGGACTGGCTCAGCTCCAGCCGCTGCAGCAGCTTGGGGAGTGAATCATTGGACGGAGGATCCTCCTCCCTGTCTCTTCTCCTCTCTGTATATCTGCCTTTCCAATAAAAAATTTTTTAAAGAATTAAATTTCTGAGAAAGAAACACTGTAATCAAAACTCAAAACTTCCATTCTACTTGGCTTCTAACACATTTTTAATGTAATCTGTTTACTTGAAAGACAGAGAGACAGATGAGAGAACTTCCACCTGTTAGTTCACTGCTGAATGCCCCTCTAAGGGCCTGTGTGTGCCAGGTCAAAGTCGGCACCAAAGACTCAATCTCCAGGTTTCCCGTGTGAACCGACTACTTGCTCCCCAGAGTGCATGTTAGCAGGACGCGAAAACAGGGCGGGAAGCCAGGACCTAAACCCAAGCACTCAGGTGTGGTATACAGGCCTTCTTAGCAAGCGATGAATAGCAGTTTTATTTGCATATTTTAAAACTAGAGACTAAAAGAGGGGGGTGCACCTAATAAATAATCTTATCACAACTAATATAAAACCTGAAATGAAATATGAAAATAACTGTCTCAATTTTACACAAGCACAGAGGATCTTCTAAGGGCAGTGGCGCTATGACAGGAGATGACAGGCAGGGTCATCTAAGTGTCAGCTGTCTCATGAAAGTCTCAGAAACGTGAACGGGTTAAGAAAATCACTAAGTGCACGTGGGCTAAAGTTTGTGTATATATTTATAGTTCACACACTCAGTGTTCACTGAGTGATCTTGAGCATATTTGCAGGGTTGTACAACTATCACCACCAATTCCAGAATGTTTTGGTCTTTCCAAAAGAAAATTCCTAAGATTAACAGAAATAAAGAAATAATCAAAATAAGGGAGGAAAAAAACCAGTCAGACAGACACAAAATGAATAATACATAAGATCAATGAATAAAGAGCTGGTTCTCCAAGAAAATCAGCAAAATAGATCCCCCACTATCCCAATTTATCAAAAAAAAAAAAAAAGGAGAGAGAAGATACAAATCAATAGAATAGACAAAAAAGGAAATATAACAACAGACAAATGTAGAATAATCAGTAAGTATTACAAGCAATTATACAACAACAAATCATAAGACCTAGAAGAAATGGATAATTTCTAAACGCATATACTTTACCAAAATGAACTCATGAGCTAATTAAAAACTCTAAACAAATCTAGAACCAAGACAGAGACTGAATCAGTAATTAAATCCCCCCCAAACAAGAAAAGCACAGGATCAGATGGATTCACGGCTGAATTCCACAGAAAATTTCAAGAATTTACTACAATCCTACACAACCTAGTCAAAACAACAGAAAGGCAGGCAATCCTTTCTAACTCTAATGAAGCCAATATCACCTTAATATAAAAGAAACATGGAGACACAACAGAGAAAGAGAACTAAAGAGAGAAATCCACTAACACCTGTGGGCACGGATATTGGAAAAAAAGTATCCTACTCCGGTGCTGGTGAGAGTGTAGGCGAGTGTAAGCCACCTTGGAAGAAAGTATGAACAGTGCTCAGAAAACCGAAAACGGATCGATCATATAATCCAGGTATTCCACTCCTGTCAATATATCCAAATGAAGTGAAATTCGCATATAAAAAACAATCTTCATCCTTACGTTTTACAGCAGCATAATCCACAACAGGAAAGGCACGGAAACAACCCAGATACCTGTCAAAAGAGGAATGGATACAGACGCAGTCGTGCATCTACTCCTTGGAATACAACACAGCCATTAAAAAGGATATAATTCTACCACTTGCTACAAAATAGTCCCAGCTACAGACCATTATGCTCAGTGACATAAGGCAAACCCCAAAGGCCTGATATCATATGTTCTCTCTGATATAAGGCAAATCATGCAAAATACAAGATCAATAGATATATAGGTAAATAAATGTGTGTGTATGCAAATTCTCATAGATGAACTGTATGATGGAGAATAGCACACCAGGAAATCAAGATATGTCACTGTATGCTTCTCTACTCCTGAATAAAAGCAACACTCCTAATGAAACTGTTAAACATACCTTGATATTGAGATACTGGACTTTTTTCCAATCATTGCCTATATCCACAATGCCATGATACACTTAAATAGCAGACTGTTGGACTTGTGACTGTTGCTGAAAATTATGCTATTGTAATAATACAGGTGGAACACAGTGGGAAAATGTGGAGGAAGGAAGGTGGGTAGAGGGAAGAATCTCTATACCTATAAAATCATATCATGAAGAAAAATATAAATTTTAATAATTTCAGAAGCAAAAAATATAAAATGAAAGGTTCTATTGTGATATTAAAAGCATAATTACTTATTATTTTAATCATCAAAGCTACCAACCACTGCATACTATGTCACAGACCAATCACTAATTCCTTGTCCTCAAACATCTTACAAAGTAGATATTGTGACCACCTTGCAAATAACGAATGGAAGGTAGGTAACCTGTCTGAGGTCATTAAATTGAGGGTCACACAGCTGCATACACCTCCCCTAACACATACTTCAAAATGCAACCAGATCTCTGCCAATGCATTGACCGAATCAACCACAGAGCCACTGGAATACTCCGCAAAGATCTGAGTTCGCAAAAATGACCAAAACACAATATGAAAACATTGTGACATATCAAAATTAGTATAACCCCTTGAAATAATGAATTTACAAACAAGTTATCATCACCAAGAAGATCATTTCTGAAGATAACTAATTGGCCAATTACTCAAAATTGCCCTGATGGACAGAAATTAAACACAACATGCTAACGCAGAAATAAAGAACAAAGACAAACAAACCAATCTAAGCTTTTCAAAGTAGTCCTCATCAGTCACTACTGTGTTCACTTAAGTGTTAGGAACCTCAAAGCTGACCAGTATTGGCCAAATGGAACATACAGTAAAGAAAACAATGGAAATAGCTAATTTGATTATGACTACACTCTGGGGGTAGCTGTAATTATTTCCAAATAAATATGCTCTTAAAACAGTTGCAAGAGCTCAACAGAGCTCAAAATGAAACATTATTTCCTTATAGATAAAACGACTTATTGTACAAATCACCATTATCAAGACAACACAGATTTCTACTCACTGCAATCCTACGTCTAACTCTAGTCTTTAAATTCTGTCGCTCACGTGGAAATATAGAGCATTCTAACTAAAAGCCCATAGGGGCTCGGAACTTCCTTTTATTAATTGTTAAATTCCAAGACACTTCAAGAGATAGTGATAACTATTTATTCAATGAGTACTGCTCAAGAATCTAGTCTAATACTCTCATTTTTGTTAGCAAAGAAACTGAGGCTCAGAAAATCTAAGAGCTTTAGCTTAAGACAACAAAGTTATGCAGGCAAAGCTAAAAATGAAACTGTTTTCCAAACTTTAGCAACGGTCACTGAACTAATCTTCAGTTACAATTACTCAAAATCCACCATTAGTATAGTTACATAATACACTATGCTAAAAAAAAAAAACTTTCTACTTATCTTCAAGCAAAAAGAACACCGCTGTGAACAGGCAGCCCATTAGACAAGCATATGCTGTGACACAATTACTATGTTGGCACGCTCCATCTGGATTGACAGAAGTGTTCATTATTGTAACAGCTCCATGAGAAAAAAGCATGCATCATTAAATATGCAGCCAAGCAGAAAAGCATCATCAATACAGGATCAGCACTGGTTAGGGAAAGACCTGTATTACAAGAAACCATTGGCTTTTTTGTCACATCAAAATTCCAACGTGCTGTCGATTTAGCATTAAAATACGTATCACATAATGTTGCTTTAAACAATGCCCTCTAACCAGC